AGAAAATAACTTTCATGATTCAATAACAAATACATGGGATAATATACTATTCCTGTGAGTGTAAATTCGATGGTAGAATCCAGATGCCTTAAAACCTAGACATATACTCATTTCTTCCAGATTAGTCATGGGGTTGTAACATAGCAGTATCTTAAAACGAGGAAGACTTTCAGAATTCGGGTATGTAAAGGTATAGCGGTATCAACAACAACAACAAAGCCTTCAATAACAAAGGTATAGCGGTATCATGTCACATTAATTTCCTTTGCCCAAAAGACATGGTATATTAAATCAAACTGAGAACTATGGCACGTCTACTGTAGCTTCAAGTGTACTTCAAAGTACTGTTTGGTGTAGTTGCTGCCGGTTGCTAGAGATTAGATTGATTTGGTTAGTTTCTATCCGGTTGAGTTTGTGTAGTTTAACCCAAGTGGTCCATGTATGCTTGGGTACATATCTATGTAAAAAGCAAAAGAAAGTGAATGAATCCAGAAAATTAAGAGAACTCTTCGGTGTGGATGCACGTCCTCAGCGAGTTGTAATAGCATTCAAATATATGTCCTATACAACACCTACTAGCTTTTGACATTCTTTAATCAAGCAATATATGAATTAAGCAGTGTCACTGAAGTACTGCTATGACATTTGTCTTCACCAACTATTCTAGATCTATTCCAACCACAATATGTGCATACCTTCAGGTACCAGATTCTACATCAAGTTGTCACTGTCCAATTTCTCTATGACAGGTGTTTACCAAGTTGTAAACTACGCTCGCAGAGTGAAGACGAGTTCACTCAGAACTCAGGAATGCAAAAATTAGCTTTTCAGGAGAGCATACCTGGAGATCATATTCTGATCTCTGAACTGTTTCCCTATCGGCTCGAGAAAGTTGGAAGGTTTTCTCCACGGTTTGAAGTACACTTGTTCTACAGATAAGTGACAATGTGAGGATGCAATAAGGACAAGTTTATATCACAAGTAACACAAAAATCGGAAACCAAACAATGCAAGCACATCAATATGCAGTAGGGGCGCAAGCCACATCCCGTTTCATCCCGCGAAACTCATCAATAAGCTCATAATTTGCTCATTACTTGTCTAAAATTAAATACTATATCTGAACTATGGTATTGTCCATTAGCCTGCCCCGCTTGCATCCCTACTATGCAGTTATCCATCACCCACCCTGAGTAATATATACTCCCTCCGTCCCAAAATAAGTGACTCAAAAGTGAGTCAACTTTGTACTGAAGTTAATACAAAGTTGAGTCATTTTTGAGTCACTTATTTTGGGACGGAGGGAGTAGTAGATTAACATTGCAAGAGAAAATAACATTTAAGAAGCATTGTACCGCATACAAGGCCTCGTTTGGAACATGGGAAAACAGTAGAAACACTATTCACACAGGAAAAGCTCCTTTCCTGGCGTTTGGAATGCAGGATCATCTTACAAAAAATGGGGATAGGAATCGATTTCCTTCACTTCTACAAGAATTTCACAGGGTTCTGAAAACCCAGTCCAACCTCATTTTTTCCCTCTCGTCGCATAAGACTGAGGCACTGCAGCTACAGCAGCTGCTTGATCTCCCGCCATGACCAGCAAACACAGGAAAAGCTCTAAGCAAATCAACAGGCAGGGAGGCAGGGGAGAAGCTTAAGCAAGCACAAAAATGGAATCCCCGCAACATGTAGAACACATTGGCGGCAATGTTTTTCCGTAAGGAGCAGCTGGTAACTAGTGGCCGGAGCTAGGCGTGACCAAGAAAAACTAGCAGAGAAAAGAAGGAAACATGCATGGAGAAGATGAAGTTGGGATAAGAAAAGAGCATGTGGTGTAGAAAGGGTGATTGCATGATGTTATTTTGCTATACCTTTCACGGTAGTTGTACCAGAAAATTATTCTCTATTAGGCAAGAGATTCAATGACATGTGTGGGGCTTAAGTGCTGTGTCTGACTGTAGTTTGACTGAGCTATTAGGATTCCTGTGATATACCAATTCCGGCATTCCAAACACATGATTTCTTTTCCTATTCCATTGTTTTTCCTATTCCCGTATTTTCCCTACCGTGTTACAAACGGGGCCTAAATGTATTTTCAGAGACATGTAGACTAAGTTCTGACATCAACAGAACAGATATCTGCTACGTGCTTACTAAGCCTTTTCTTTGAAAAGATGAGTTGTCATTTTAAACTTATGAAACAAACAAACTGAGAGTACATTCAAGTTTAATAACAAGACTTCAAGAGGAATGTCTTATGTCTGTCAAAAGGTTATGAACTAGAGCAACCGACTAAAAGGACAGACCCAGTGCTAGAAGCTCCCACACCAGGTGGAGTCTGGGGAGGGATTATACAAGGCAAGTCTTACCCCTCGCAGTGCAATGCAGGGAGGCTGCATCGAACCCAGGACCTCTTGGCACAAGTGGGGAGTACTTCACCACTGCGCTAGGCCTGTCCTTCAACT